CTGCTTCACACCTGGGAGATCAAAAGAAAGGCCTTGAAGAGAAAGGGAAATGTATTATTTTATTAAAAAATGGAAGTTACACATTGGCCACACTACTGATTTGCCTCAAATGTTGAAATATTCTTGGGAAGTGAACCTCCCTGCCTGCAGTGTTCATCCCTGTTTGCACAGTGCTGTGCACAGAGGGCCCATAGGTGTAACTCTAGGAACACCTACTGGTTTGGCCACATCACAAGTCTGGGCATCTCTTTTTCTGGGCCTTTTTTTTTTTTAATTTATTTTGCTGTTGCATTATACAATGATTTTTTTATTCCCAAAGTTTTGTTGCTTTTTTTTTTTGTTTGTTTGTTTATCTGACAATTAAGTACCTGACTATAACTAAGTAGGTATCTGATAATAAAGTATCTCTCTTTCATGCCTATAGCAAAACCCATTGGTTTGGGTGGGAGCTGGTTGGGATCCCAGTGCAAACACCCAGAGGAGGGAGCTGGGTGTGAGTGCAGCAGGAGCTGCCAGCTCAGGGGGAGCTGTTTGTGTCAGAGCTGCCTGTGTGTGTCCAGGGCAGAGGGGCAGCTCTGCTCCCCACCCCCTCTCCCAACTCTTCTTTAATGCTGCCTCACTCTTTAAAATGCAATCTTTAAATTAACATGATTTAATCAGAAATGCTGCTGTCCTGCAGCTGGATTTCAGGCATGCCCTAACAGCAGCTTCTTTTAGGAAAGATTTACTTATTTTTCTTTAAATGTCTGTTGTTTTCAGTTGCATTCCAAAACTTTTCCCTTCAAAACAAAACAAGAAAAGCAAGATGTGATGTAGTGGTTTAGGCTTAGTGGGAATTGTGCTCGGATATTAAGGCTACAGAAGCAGGCAGGAATGAGCAGGAGGGTGCAATTATGGATGAGTGTATTTTCTTCACTGATTTTAATTTCATGAGAGCAAGTAACACGGTCCCCCCTCACCACACACAAAGGTTTCCCACTGTCCATTCAGCTGCTGAACCTCTCCCTGTTTTGTTACTCTGCTCACTCCTGTCTGCCCACTGGATTTACCTTACAAATTCTATTTATTTCCTATTGCTCCTGTATTCATTGTCTATTGTCCTCTCTGTGGCTTGTTTGAATTCTTAGACCACTCTCTTTCCCTCCTGCTTTGCCATGCATGCTATTTAGCTATGGCTTTGCCTTTCCAGAAAATACCCTGCTTCTCCTCCTTCCCCCTCCTCCTTCAAAGTTTCAGATTTCCCTTGCTGGCAGGCAGCGAGGGGCTGCACACCAGGCACCAGCCCTTGGGTCTGCTCTGTAAGCACAGGACCTGATTCCCCTCCTGCAAACTGAGGAGCGTGACAATAAATCAGCTGAGAGGGGGCTGCCTGGAAATTGCAAAACAGGGACACGTAGTGAAACCAACCAGCACAGCTCACAGGAGCTCACAGCTCTCCCAAATATATTCCCTTGGGGACAGCAAGGCAGAGTGAGACCTTTCAACAGATTAGCTCTGCCACAGTGTTTAAAGCAGCTTTGAATGTTCAGCTGAGATGTGCTTAACCCCAAATGCAGCATCTGAAAGTGCCCTTCCTGTGCCTTCCAGCAGGGTCCCAACTTGGCAGGAGGGTTTGTCCCCAGTAATGCAAACACAGCCATGCTTTGAAGAAAATTTAAATCCAGACCTGAGCTTGAGCCCATTTGTAATCACTACTTGATTTTGCCTTCCTCAAATCTGTACTTTTGAGTACTGAGGAAAATGAGTCATCTCTCCTTTAATAGGTTCTCCTCCTGCTCTTTAAAATCCTTAAAAGTCCTTTAAAATCGCTGCTGTTTGTGCCTGGCTTGGTAGCCGTGACAAGCAAATATTTAAAGTGAATTTAGAAGGAAGTGTCTGAAGTGACTGTGTAGAGTCTCATCTTTGAGTTGCTCCTTGAGGAAAGCAGTGGAGCTTTATTGGGGTTCAAGTGTTTGAGTGTAGGGAGCTGCTTACAGAACCTGTATCTCCAGTCCTGCCACATTAGGTCAGAGTAGTTACTCGGTGACTTCTGTTTTCAGAGGAGTTTAAATGAAGCCTTTGCTGCAGAAGATTTATATTTCCATTCGACATTATACAATATTTTCTTCCCTAGATTTCAGTGAAGTTCTGCTCTTTCTGAATCGTAAATGAAAAAAGAAAAAAAAAATTACTGTTCAGAATGTTCTCTCTTGAAAAGATGTTTGCTTTTCACAGCTCAAACAGAAAACAGCTCAGTGCATCCAAAAGCTGCCTCACCCTTTGAGCGTGTTCCCAGATCTCAGCCAAGAGCACTACTATGGAATAGCTGTGAGTAGCCGGAAGAGCATTGTAGGGATTGAGATGCAAATGAGCAAAGCAAGCAGCCCCCTTCACTGCAGAGGTTCCCTATCTCCTGCTGCCCCTCACTTTTGAACTGGGGGAGGCTTAACCTGGGCTTTGCTCCCCAGCCACGATCCCTGGCTCTGCACCCACAGCCTTGGCTCTGCAGCCACCAGCCCGGGCTTTGCTCACTTGTAAGGCTCAGCAGCCTGGGGAGGATGAAAACTGTGTCAGCATCAGGAAGGCGTGGAGGACAGGAGGGGCTTTCAAAGTCCCCATGTTGCCATTGCTTTTCTGGGTCCCGAGAACTAAATGCCACCGCTTTTTCTGAGTTAAAAGGAACGGGGAATAAAAGCCAGAGGTAGTAGCCACTGCAAAATAGCACACTCTGTTCCCTATCTTAAAAGTTCACAGTTTTCAGGCAGTTTCAAAAGTTCCAGAGAGTAATGTGAGCTGCCTGGGCACTTGTTTGTTTTATCAAATGCGGTGAGTTCGAATATTGCAAAGGAAATCAGATACAGTAGGTTGGGGGGCGTGCAGGGGGTTGCACATATAAACACTCTGAGCAATAAAGCAATATGGTGTTTTCTCTGTATGCTTTTCTTTCCAGTGTGAGGGAAGGAAGCAAAACATTCTAACAAAACCTCCTTCTAAAGAAATAATCAAGGCGCTGAGCTCTAAAGCCGGTATCACTGTACACGACTGGGAGAAAAAGGCATTTTGCATTATTGCATGTTGTCATCACTTTGCTCAGTGTTGTCCCTCCGTGCTAATTACATGTTTACATGCATTGCATCATTGGGCAGAATTACTGTAATTATGTTAATACTTCATAATCAACAGAACACAGTACCTGTAATTTACCAAACAAAAAGGACATGAAAAGCTAAACCCGCGAATGGAAAGGGATACATTGCAAAGGATTTAATCCTCGGTGCAGCAGCAGGGAGGAAGCTTTCAGAGCTGGAATATCCTGCTTCAGCCACTGGATGCTCTCAGAGGCACCAGGGCACTTTGCAAGGTGTTTTAACAGGTACTAAGGAGGATAACACACCAAACTGTGAACAGGGTGTAAATGTTTAATGCTCATTCATGAACTCTCACCCAGCAAAATCAGTGCCCTTCATAAAGCTGCTTGAAAGAGCAGCAGGAGACTAAGCAACTCGCTGATCTGGAAATATTTTAACCCCTCTTCTATCTGTGGATGTACAATATCAATCTCAACCCTCTTGTTGCTTCTTTGAAAGAAATTGTGCGGCACCTGGCATATCAGAGCACAATAGGTGTGCAGCTGGATCATCTTCCTCCATCTGTGGGGGTTTTTTTCCCCATTTATCTTGGCCTGGGTAGTTTGGGCTTTAGGCTGATTCACCCCCTGCACTTCCCTCACGTCCTGGAAGGCTTCTAAGGGTCTCTGTCACTAAGGGTTAAGTATCTGAAGTCAACAGCGGAATAACCCGGGACATTAAACAACATAAGGAGTTATCCCGAGTGGTCATTAAGTGGTGAAGAGTAATACAAATAATATCGAGTCCCAAGTGCTTCCTGGTAAGTGGAGACACAAGAAAGTTGCAGCAAAATTGTCAGCCTTCATCTACCAGGAGCCGCGCCTTGGTGGAGATCCTACTGCACGCTGAGTCACCTGCTGCAGCGAGTGCGGGGCGGGCACCGGGGCTGCACCCCGCGGACAGAGTGCAGACACCCCCAGGACAGAGTGCAGACACCCCCGGGAACAGAGTGCAGGCACCCCCGGGAACAGAGTGCAGGCACCCCCAGGACAGAGTGCAGACACCCCCGGGAACAGAGTGCAGACACCCCCGGGAACAGAGTGCAGACACCCCCGGGAACAGAGTGCAGGCACCCCCGGGAACAGAGTGCAGGTCACTGTGGGCACCCAGGGATGCACCCCCGGGACAGAGTGCAGGCACCCCCGGGGACAGAGTGCAGGCACCCCCAGGACAGAGTGCAGGCACCCCCAGGACAGACTGCGGGTCACTGCGGGCACCCAAGGATGCACCCCTGGGGACAGGGTGCTGATCACTGCGGGCACCCCCCAGGACAGGCTGCGGGTCACTGTAGGCACCCGGGGCTGCACCCTCGGGGACAGACTACAGGCACTCCTGGGGACAGGCTGCGGGTCCCTGCGGGCATCCCTGGGGACAGAGTGCGGGTCCCTGCGGTTTCCCGGGGCTGCATCCCCAGGGACAGGCTGCGGGTCACTGGGGGCCGCCCCAGCGCAGAGAGCGCATCTCAGTAACTTTCCCTTTGGTCCTGCCCGTCATCGCCCCTTCCTACACAGGGCAGCTCGGGGGAGCCCGAGCAGGGCGGGGCAGGAGCGGAGCTCTCACCCCGGGCCGGGATCTCTGCCAAGGGGGCTCGGGGCAGCGGCGGAGCCCGGGACTGGCCGTAGCCGCGGGCGGCCGCTGTTCCCGATCCGCGCCGCGTTTTGCCGGCGCAGCAAGCGCCGGCCTTGCCGGAGGAGGAGCGGCGGGAGGGGGAAGGGGGAGGAGGAGCCGGCCCTCGGCCGAGCCGCTCCCGCCCCTCAGCTGGGAGCCCGCAGCCAGCGGGTGCAAGCGGCAGAGCCGAGCGGCGCCGCGCCGAGCCGGGATGCGGGAGCCGGGCATGGGGTAGCCGCGCCGCCCTGCCGCGCCCCCCCCACCATGTAGGCGAGCCCCGGTGCCTGCACATCGCTTCCCGCCGCCTGCACCGCGTTCGCACCGGCCCGGGGGACCATGCGGAGCGCCCCGGTCTCCGGGCTGCTGCCGCTGCTCCTGGGGCTGCGGCTGCTGCTGGGCAGCGGCGCCGCGGCTCAGTACTCCAGCGACCTGTGCAACTGGAAGGGGAGGTGAGGGGCATCCCGCCCGGGCCGAGGGGAGCGGGGACTGCCGCGTCCATCGCCGTCCCGCCGGGGGAAGATGCTGATGCCGAGCACAAAAGGGAGACTTTCCCGCTGTGCTGCCCAGCCCGCGAACGGGGCGGCGGACGGCGGAGAGCCGGGGCCGGGGGCGGCTCTGCCTCCCTCCTTCCCTCCCGGCGGGTTCACCGCGCAGAGACGCTGGGCAGCGGCCCCGGGCGGGGAGGGATGGAGGGGCCGGGGCGAGCTGGGCTCCCCTCGGCGGGGCTGAGGGGCCGGGGCGGGCTGGGCTCCCCTCGGCGCTGTTCGGGGGGCTGGGAGAGGGAGGGCGGTGCCAAGTCCGCTGCAGAGAAGTTTCTCCCCGCAACCATCTTCGCTCCGCGGAGGCGGCGCCGCGCCCGGGGAGCAGCGCGGCAGCCCCGGCTCGGAGCGGCGCTGGATGCGCTGCACCTGCGGAGCGCGTCCCTCCCCGCGGCTCCTGCTGGCTCCTGTCTGCTCCCTTCCCTTCCCTTCCCTTCCCTTCCCTTCCCTTCCCTTCCCTTCCCTCCCGCACTTGGCGCTCAGCCCCGGGGTCACTCCCCGCTCCCTCGTCCCGCGGAGATGATGATGATGATGATGATGATGATGATGATGATGATGATGGTGGTGGTGGTGATGATGATGGTGATCAGCTCCGGGAGCGGGGGCTGGCACAGCGGCCGCGCTGCTGATTTATTCTAATTGCACCGGGTTGAGAAACCTCTCCAGTTCTCAAGTGTTTATCTCCCAAATTATCTTTCCTTTAATTGCTTGTAATATGTTTAACGCGTGTGGTTGGGTCTGTGACCTTCTCTCCTCTTTATAGGTTTAAAAAAGCAGCTCTGCTCAACTAGCAAGTGTTGCTGGGTCAGACTTACTTGGAGAGTAAAATAGTTCCTAACTCTAAAGCGCTCTTCAGATCTGACTTTCTCTAATTTAAAAGTTTGGCTGGCCTATATCAATGGAGTGTTTTGGAGTAGAGAGAATTCAAAGTGGGGAAACAATTGGATTGACTTTCAGCATCATGATTGCTTATCTCTTACTATCTGAAATATGGTGCTTTGTATTTACTTTTTTTTTTTTTTTTAGTTTTATTGATAATTGATGCATAGTTAATCGCAGTGAATTTCATTGAAGATGAACCTGCTTGATAGGGATGAAATCTCTGACAAACTCCTAATTTGTCATTTTTCTTTACACAAAAAACCAAGCCAAAACAAAAACCAAAAACACAATCAAAATCCCCCCCAAAACAGACATACAAAAATCCCCCCTGAAAATGCTGTACCAAAGCATTCTAAAGCCTCCCAGCTGCACTCCTTACCTGGACCTTACCACCTGCTACTGTAGCAAGTATTTTAAAAGAATGGTGACAAACCCTTGCAATTCTGTCCTGTTTTGCTGTTACTTTTGTCCTGTTTTCTTAGACCAAGCAGTGACCCCTCGTGTCACCTGAGCAGGGTTGGAATAAGCAATGCCTTGAGTGTCAGCTAAGGGGGTGTGGGCTGGGGGGGGAGTGAAATCTTGTACCTGGGTTTGGGATGAACCTGGAAATGCCAGCTTGGATTTACTCACCTACTGTTGTTCTGGTGAGCTGAAGTGGTGACAGCTTTGTGATGAAGCTGTTGGATGAGCAGGGGAGGAAGAGCAAAGTTCAGTCTGGGTGGTTTCACTTGTGGGAGAGCTTTGGAGTTCAGGTGGGCTGGAGTTTTGGGAGGGGATAAAGTAACCCAGGCTGACTTAGGCCTTACTGGTGGCAAACAGGTGTTGTCAGAAATGCTGGCAGTCTAAGGCCACTCAATATCATCTGACTTGTCCTAAAAACACAGAGCTTGAGAAGGAAAGAAAGTCATTTGATACACCAGTAAATATCACTAATTAAGTATTTCAGTGTGGATACCAAGAGTTATATGGGGTAGAAAGAACTATTTTTTAATGCAAAATCTAATATTTTGAAGTCATGTGATGATTTTTACCTTGACTGTTAGGAAAAGTTATGAATGTCATAGTCTTTAATTTAATGTCATAGTCTTTCCCTACAGTGGAGTCATAGGCTGGCTTGTGCTGGTGGATTTGGGAGTCATGTCATCTTCTGTAGTAAACCTGAAAGTGTTTTCTCACCTTAAGATGCATGTCTATGTTAAAAGCAACAGTCTTAAAAACAAAACATTCTGGATATGGGGTTTTTTTCCCTATTAGCTTGTGGAGAAGTGATGAGCTTATACCCCTGAGCAGGATGAAGAGCTTCACTAGGATTCCTCTGGATGCTTCCAGGGAAATCTGATGCAATGCACAGCTTGACACCTGCAATTTAAGTACAAGCCATAATAGCATCTTAATAAATAGCTTGTCAGAGAGCTTCCAGGAAAGCTTTGTCCAGGAGAAAGCAGAAACTTCACTGTGATGTGTCCAGTTATTGCTTTTGCTGTAACTTCAGGTTTTTGTGCTGCAATGACCTCGTGATGCTTTGGGCAAAAGTGCTTCAGTGTCAGGCTGAGAGAATATGCTGGCCTGGCATGTTTGATTGTAGGACAGAGAATTCAGCTCTTATGTGGCTGCTTTTGTCCATCAGTCTTGCTCTTGGTATGGTGGATGCTCTGAGGAATTCTTAATTTTCTCTAGACTGTCATCTCTTATTAAATTCTCCAATTTAGGAGCAAAAGTTCCCTGTGTTCATTGCAGGGTGCAGGGAGGACATGGGTGCTTGTAGGGCTCTTCAGCATGTCTTTAATGGAATAAATAAATAACTGAAGTAGATAGTGTGAATATTCTTCTGGCTTCTTTTTTCTTTAAATAACACCTGTTGCACATTGCAGCATAGCAGCTCACTGCAGTGATATTGTAACAGCTTTTTCAGGGCAAACATAAGGAGATGGCTGAAGTCAGAAAGGGAGAAGAGCAAGGAGACAGATGCAGTGATTCAGGATTGCTATGAGGAAGTAGCTGTAGAAGTAGCTTGTAATAGAAGCAAGTCCCAATAAACAGCCCACATTTAAAATGGGTGGATGGCTCATCCATCACTGCAACCATGAAACACCTGCCCTATGTCCTCGCCATAAAATCAAAAAAACCAAAACTCCAATGAGTCTGGAGAATAAAAAGGCCCCTGGGTCTCCATTACTGTGTGGACCTGGTGGGGCTGATGGGTGAGAGCTGAACCTGGTGTTTAACAGTCTCAGTGTGAGGCCAAGTCATCCTGACTGCAAGCAAAGTGACAGGTTTTACTGGATGATGATGGTTGCTGTTAAATAATGTGAACATGCATTTTGAAATCTGCTTAACTTTTGAGTCATCCTTTATTATAAGGCTTAGTGTGTGCAGGTACTCGTGCTTGATGTATCTGTCTAATGGCATCACTCTTGCCTGTGGGATATAATTGGCTTTCAGAAGATAATTTCAGAGTCCACCCTGTTTTCGTTTGAACACCATAAATGTTTGAACAAAATTAATGAAGCCTTTTTTTTTTTTTTTTTTTTTTCCTCTGGCAGAAATTCACTGCCTCAGTGTTGTTGGGATCACTTGCAACAGAAGTTTCACTGCATGAGTTCAGAGTTTTGCCCCTGGTGTCTTCCTTCTGTTTAAGCACTCAGGCTGGAATGTGCCAGTCTGAGTCCTGCAAAGCCTCTGCAGCTTGTTTTGATGTCTTGAGTAGGGACAAGTGATGTGTGGGGATAACTTTCTGCCCCTTTGCTGAAGGAAAACTTTTACACTGTTTAATTTTGTTTATTTGCAGCTTGCACATAAACAGACTTCTGTGTTTTCTGTTGAGTGGCATCATGTGTGTGCTGTGGTGAAAACTGATTTGGTGGACCAGATGTGGATTTACAGTCAACTTGAAATATCCCTTTGCAAGTAAAGTTTCCTGAATGTGTTAAGTACTACTGAATTTGAGGGCAAGAGTCTAAAGGTTAAAAGCTTGTCCCTCTTTCCTCCTCATCTGTGTTCTTGATGTGGCTTTCAAGATTCTTCAAAAGCACATGTTTGGAGGCTCCATTGTTATTAAATATGACTTTTTTCTTTCTGAGCTTCCTCGTGTAACCTCTATCAAGTAGGTCACACCGACACTCACAATAATGAGTCACGTCAACAGTAAATGCAAACCATATGGTTTGGGTTTTTTCCCTTTTACACATTGCTTGTAGTTACTTTCTAAGTGCTGACTTGAATTTAGACCCTGTTCAGTACCCAAATATGTCTTTGGGATGGGGAACTGTGTATTTGGAGGTTTCTGCTGAGGAACCAGGACTTGATGTCATCACTTGCACTGCACTAAAATACGCTTTTGCCACAGATTTCCTGTGTAACCTCCGACTTAAACCTTTTAAATTATTTTTTTTTCTCATCTTGGTTCATCTGCCCACAAGTGGGAATGCTGGGAAGCTTCCCTAAAATCCTGCAAAGCAGACCCATGAGTCTGGTTTTGGGTTGTCCTCTACAGGCACAGGATAAAAGGTGCTTAGAGCATAGGAGGAGAAGAAACAAGCTTGGTGGTGAAGTCATTTGCTCCTACTCACTTAATAGGTTTGTGACAGGACAGAGACTGGGCCCAGAGGATTTTTCCCTAATAACCCAAATACTGCAGCCAATCAATCAGGCTTCCCACAGCTTGTTCCTCCAGCTGCAGTGCCTGCCCTGTGTGGTGTTTTAGGGCTTTGAGTCACTCTGGCAGAGAGCTGGTGGGCCTGATGCAGCATCACTGATGGGCAGCAGGGGTTGTTCAGAGCTGCCCTCACTTAGGGCAACTTGGGTCCTTAGGAGGACCCTGTTGTGCCCATCCCTGTGTCCCTGTGAAATGGTTGTTGGGCTGTTCATTTTTGGCCATAGTAAATGGCCACGTGTTCTCTTTCTTGCTAAACACAGCTCTGTGTCTGCTCGTAGCCCATCAGTGAAAATGGCAAACTGAGCTTGAACATCACACTGGGTAGCAGGGGAGGAACAAGTTCCTACCAAAAAAAGCAGCACATTCAGTGCTTCCCCAGCTATGACAAAGGACAGAGGTGTCTCCTCTCCTCTTTCTACCTCCCAGTGTGGGGACTGGGGCTGCCCAGCTGGGCTAGAGGGTATTGGTAGCACGTAGAGCATTGCTTTTGCTGCAGTTTACAGGGTGAGCTTGGCACCCCTCCCAGTTTCAGATCCATTGGGAATATAGACTTGGAAGGGGAACAAAGTACTTGGAAAAAGGTGGAGTCTGATCTGTGAAGCTGGAGAACATGCTGGATTGAGCCACCAGGAAGGGAGTTAGAGCCTACGTGTTTTACTCAGTATGCACAGCTCAGCTGATGGGCAGTACCTGAGCCTGTAGTGATTTAATTACTTTTGATCATGTGCTTATATCCTATTTAATTTTGAAGCCTATTACTAGTGGTTGGACATTTTCTTCTGGGGGATGATTTAAAATTGTCCTGTAATATTAAGGCTGAAATGTTGCAAGGAACCTGCACTGCTGAGCTGGATGGGCCCACACCCAGTGATGTCCCGGGCTTCCTGCATTTCTCGCTGTGTGTTTTGAAAGGTTTGACATTCCCATTGTTAGCTCTGTCATTTCTCTAACCTCCTCTCTCTCCCTTTCTTCCTGCAGTGGCTTAACCCACGAGGCTCACAGGAAGGATGTTGAACAGGTCTACCTCCGCTGCTCCGAGGGCTCCATCGAGTGGATGTACCCCACGGGAGCACTCATAGTCAACCTGAGACCCAATATCTCACCTGCCTCTTACAAACACTTGACTGTTTGCATAAAGCCCTTCAAAGACTCTGCAGGAGCAAATATTTATTTGGAAAAAACTGGAGAACTGAAACTGTTGGTGCGAGACGGAGAGCGCAGCCCCAGCAGAGTTTATTGCTTTGGCTACGACCAGGGGGGGCTGTTTGTGGAGGCCACTCCTCAGCAGGACATTAGCAGGAAGATTACAGGCTTCCAGTACGAATTGATGAGCAAGGGGATAGCAGCTGACTTGCACACAGCTTCTGGTGAGTGCTGGGGCATTGGCAAACTCCCACCTCCTGTACTGGATGTGTAACAGATGGCAGAGAGAGTGAGTGAGTGGGAAAGTGGCTGGCTGTGAGTTTCGTGTGCTTTTAAGGACATGTTTTATAAACAGAGCGATTGCAGAAGAATTGATTTGGTTTTTGGTTTGTTGTTGTGTTTTGGAAGTTGGTGGCATGGGCTGAGCTCCAGTGATTTGTTGAGGGCCACAGTGCAGGATTCTCCCCTTGCAGGGGCAGGGTGGATTACAGGAGCTGGCTTTACCCTACACTGAACTCTCCTGGGCTTCCCAGCCCTGCTGTAACACTTTTCTAACTACTTTTTTACTCAGTTTTTAAGACCCCACTGCATGTTTTGAATAATAAACATTTGAACAAGGAGGCACTCCTTTTCCTTGGTGTTTTTTTCCCCTTTGCAAGTAGTGCTACTTGCTGACCTAATTATTGCTTTTTCTGTTGTGGTTTTTTTTTTATTCAAACAAGGAAAATGGTGTGCTCCTTCCTCAGCTCTCCTTATTACACTCTCCTGAGCATTACTGTGTCATGGCAGAGCTCTTCAATAATTTTACAGGACAATGTTGTCTTCTCTCTCAACCATTATGAAAAACAAGTTTTGTGGGGAGGAGTTTTACTCCAATGAAAAACTTATAGGAAAGAGGAGTGGACAAACTGAAAGATCTTACAAGCCTGTAAAGTCTGGTACTAAATAGCATTTGGAACAATGGCTGCAGGTGTGACCTAAGTGTGCTGAGCAATTAGACAGTTTGAGAGGAAAAATTGGCATTTGTGGAGGATGACAGGGTGAAAGGGGAATTCCCTTTAGATTAGGGATATCTGGTTCATGCATCTTACCCAATTCAGCATTGCCTCTAGCTTTTATCCCCAAAACCAAGGAGGGGAGGTTTCCAGACTAGCCCAAGGAATTGCAGATTTAGGGTAGCTTATCTCAAATGACTGCAAGGATTTCAAGGTTTAGGATTTGTTTCAACCAGATTTCTCTTTTGAAACTTGGGCTGCCTTTGCTCCTTTGGGTGAAGGCAGCGAGAAGAGGCCTCAGAGCACACTTGGGATGACTCAGCCCGGGGTAAAGCCGATGTTCAGTGAGGCTGTGTGGCCCAAGAGCTCTGTGGATGCTGGCCAGACTCTGCCGTGCTGATGCCACATGCTCTGCCCGAGATGCTGCTTGATAAGCAGTGCTGTGACTAATTAAACTGCAGCTGGATCTTCCAGGGCTATCTCCTGTGGGCTAAGTGATTGCAGAACTTGTTCCATCCTCTCCCCTCCCTGGCTCCTTTCCACACCAGGCTCTGTTTGTGTATTTGTGCAGCCCTGCCCGTGGTAAATGTTGTCACGCCAGCTCGGATGGGGCTTTGCTTTTGTGCAGCTCTGAGCTGGACTCAGCTGAGCAGAGCTGGGCTCAGGGCTGATGCAGTAACCTCGGGAACTGACAGGTGGCAGCTTTGCCATTAAAACAAAAAAAAATATAAACACAAATATTTTAAATTTGAAGTCACTTCCTTTACTTTTGCCATGCTCACAAGTGGCAGCTTATTATTGGGCATTCTGCATTTTAAGCAGACTGTTCTGCCACATCCAAAATTACTGTAAACGAAGTGGGGCATCTCTGCTGAGCTGCTTTCCCAGTAAGATCATTTGTGCAAAGATGAATACACTGTGCAGAATGTCAGCTATGTAGTAAAATTCCATTGCAGAAGACATTAAATACATTGTTTAATCAGTTATTTGGGGAATGTTCCCAGATTCAGTGCTGCCTTCTCTGTCAGGCTGTGAGGATGGAAACACAGACAGGGGCTAATGAGAAGTCACTTAGGCTTACTAAGAAAAGTCCTGTGCTCTTTTATTTTCCAAAAGAATTGAAATTGCTTTTGCATATAGTAAAATAATGTGACAGAAGCACTGCTTATCACTGCTGGGTTTAGCCTGCACTTAGGGTTTCTCCTGAGCTTTGCTCATTGAGGATTTGCTGCTGACATCCTTCACCAGCACAAACCGCTGTGTTTTCAGAAATAAATGCTTTTCTTTACACATAAAATCCTGGACATTTTTAAAGCAGATGGGAGCATTTTTTCAGGGACGTTCAGAAGTCAAACTGAGGACTGCATCCAATTACAGCCTTCCTCTTTAATAGACACATTAAATCACTTTTTCAGTGACTGCTGTATTTTCAGCTGTAACAGACACTGGTTAAATTTCAGTGCTGTCTTATGAAACAATGTGGTGGGGAATCTGCTCCATTCTCCAAGTGTCTTGTTTGGCTAGGAGAAGCTTTTTAATAGTTCATCAGCAGAGCCTTCAGGGCAAACTGGGGATCTCTATTGTATTTTAAATTATTTCTCTTGCCTTTTTTTGGATCCCCAGACTCTGGGGAGGGGCTGTGCAGGGTGAAAACACGATGAAAATGCCATACATGACTCTTTCCACTACTCACTTAGATGAGCAGTTTTATTCTCCTATAAATATCTGTACGTCTGGGGGAAGTGCCAAATAGCTGCCTTGTGAGGCTTCCACAGAGCAATATATTTGAGGCTCTTTGCAGCTTGTGGACCTCCTTTCTTCTGGAGCTGCTTCTAGCTTTCCTGTGAAACCTCAGACTAAATGCTGAGCTGCTCACTTGGAGGGGGACTTTACAATCACTGAAGATTTTTTTCCCTGGAGAGGAGGCTCCTAAGCTGACCTTCAAGGAGCTGAAAACTGGGTTTAAGTTTCTGCATTTCCCACCACCCTTACTTCAGGCCCTGGTTCACCAGCGTGGCTGGTGATTTTGGCTGCTGCACTCTGGAAGAAGAGGCTGCTGTGTCTCAGCTGCAGTTTGACAGAGTTGAGCAGAGCTGGCAGTAGGTGTGAAGAGGTGACAAAGATGTGAGATGCTGTCGTAGATGGGGTCTGAGATGTGCCGGGCGGAGGAAGCTGCAGTGTTTCTTCTGATGGCAGAGAGCTGAAAATTGCAAATATTGCATGATTTCCTTGCTATTTCAGATGCCTATCATAAAAGACCCAGGTGTGGGGCTCAGCAATCCAGCCCTTTCCTTGTGCAATAACCACTTGCTAACAACTTCTCCTTGCTTTCCCTAAATGCTGGGTTTGTTTCCTGGTGATAATTGTTGTACTCTGCCCTTGAATTTACTCTCTCTTCCTAACCTGGCATCCCAGCGCTGATTAAAGGGTGTAAGTCATCTGTTTAATACTTTAATGACCTGTTGTGTCCTTAGAGTCCTGACATTGCAGGGTGCATCAACAAATCAACAATGCTTGGCATGGTGCCTGTGGTTTAATTAGAAATCCTCAAGTTTTATTAGTTTACAGCCATTCTTTCCCACTTAATCAGAGTCTAGCAAATAATTCAGTAGAAAACAGATGCAGGTTCTGCATTGCCCTTTCCCTTTTTTTTTTTTTTTTTTTTTGAAAAGTTGAATGACACAGGGCAGTCTTAACAATTTTCTAGATTTTGGGGACTTAACCCTTTTCTTGGCTCTGACTCTGCCTTACCACAGTCTCTCAAAAATTTCCTAACTGTAGGAGGAATTTGTGCTGTACTGGTAGATTTTAATTCAGGTTGCTGACATCTGGTGTGGGAAGTTTTTTACTGTGATAGTAACAGTCAAAAAAAGTCCATTTCTGTGGGGTTGTACTCTCTTAAGATGGGAAGAGGAGTGAAGGCAAACATGCCTGACATCATTTAATGGGAGTAGTCCCTGAGAAGGGTCACCTTGACAATTCAGGCATCTGGATGGGTGAGTTCTCTCTTCATATCCAAAGTGATGGTTGACTGAAAGTGCTTTTGATTTCAGATGAGGCTTTGGGCTGCACCCCTCAATCATTCCCATCCACACCCCATTAACTCCAGCTCATGCTCTGCAGCCTCAGTGTTTGCCCCAGTGAGGAACCGAGGCACTGTGACATTTTGGCCTGAGGCCACTGGAGAATCAGCAGAACTCGTAGGAGTTGTTGAATTCTGTTGATTCTAATCTTTTCTGCTTGTGCAGGAAGAAAATACTCTGAGTGTCAGCCATGCTGCCCATACTGACAAAGAGATGGAGGTTTTGGCAAAAGTGGTCTGGCCATGTAGTCCCTACAATTTTCTGAAGGTTCTGACCCACATGAGCTCCTCAGCTGTGCCTGGGTTAGGTCTGCCTTGCACCACAGCAGACTGCTTGCTTTAAAGTTCTATGAACACTGTGAAGGTCCCTTGAGAATAATTTACTTTTTGAGTACCTCACCTTCTGCTCAACTAATCTGAAACAAGAATCTGTAGGTTTGGCCAAAAGTTTTGGAGAGGAAGGTGAATCCTCTTCCCTGTCCCACCAAAGGAGCTTTATTTTGTTACTTAAATCTGTGTTTCAAGAGTGTCTCATCAAGCCCTGGGTCCAGCTTTGTTCAAGCTGTGCAGTTTGCTCTTCCCACTGCACACTCATGGGGGTGTGTTTAATTTAGTTGTCAGAGCTCAGGGGGTATATTGAAAGCCCTTTCATTACCCACCTGCTTCTGTGTAGTAAAGAAGTCAAACTTTAACAAAAATGCTCCTTTATCTTGATGGCATCTACAGATTTAGTGCAGATGCTATTAACTGGTTTATATGTTTTCTTTATTAATGGGTACCTGGCTGAGAATATGAATACATAGGAGGTACAACACTAGTGTGGGTATCTGAAAAACAAGGCAAAACTGGATAAATCCAGTTAAGTAATTTACAGTATTCAGCTATTTCCTGTATGCTGTTAATTCACTGCTCTGAGAAAGCAGATCAGAAATTCAGAAAGCTCAGAAGTCTTTGGGCTGTACCAGTGTTTCTGCTGACAAATGACTTTGTAAAGCACCCTTCTTAACTTCTGATCCTTAATGCAGAGTGTGTTTGGCAGAGGTGGGGCACCAATCTGCCCTATCTCTGCAGGTACCATCCCAGGGCTCTGCTGTCATCCCACCTTGCAGGCTCCCAGTCTCATGCTTTCCTCTGGTTCCTCACAAAT